TCTACTTTCGGCTCCTTTAGATCGCCAATGAAATGTAAAATAATAGCAAACATAGGTAATAATATGTTAAGACTCCAAAAGAGATTTGATCCTTAAGAAATGGTTGCAATACAGTTTGTCCGAGTGGAGCTGCCATATGTTGACAACATAAGAAGGGGCAAGGCCCAAAAAAGGTCTGACCACCTGAGCAGATCTGGAACCTACATAGGGTTTGCTTAGGTTAAAGCGGTTGTATGGCTCTGATCACGGCCGGGGATTGGACAGGCAGCCCCTCTTTACCCTGATGAAGGCAATTACATCCCAGATCTGGAAGCTAGTCACAATCTGGGTTATCGGCACCTAAACCTGGGTGTATGTGTGGGGAGTGTCATCATAGACATTATATACGTAGACACCTCTTTGGATGCTGGTCAACGTGCCTAATCAAACTGAAATGTAATATTAAATAGGGCCGCAACTAACGATTATTTTAAAAATCAATGAATCGGCCGATTATTGTTTCGATTAATCGATGAATCGGACAAAAAATATTTTTTATATTAACCTCTTTATTCCAAAATAAACATTTTAGACAGAACAAGCAAGCACACAAGTACAGGTTGCTCATTAACTGTACTGGTGCAATATGAAAAATAAATGTTTGTGTTAAAACTACGCAAACTTACATAAGAAATGTAGCTGTACATCCACAAAATATAGGGTACTTTGTTTCATAAAGCGCAAAAAAAAGACATTTTTGTTTTTTAAAGCCCCTAAGGGGTTCAACAAATTCGTTTTTTTTAGACTAGAAGGGTTCTGCCTTTTAAGACAGGAAAGTATAGCAGTTAAAGTTGCTACTTGAGAAAATACTCAACCATAGAGATAAAAATAGCCCTGTGATTCAAATTATAAATTGTATTTGGAATAAAAATGAGAGAACTAGGGGTGGTAAAAAACACATCCTCCAAAGACAGATATTTACATGGAAATGTGGCAGATAATTAATTGACATATTACTGATCTTGCTGGATTTTATTCTGCTTTACTTCCATAAATTGCAGATCTTCTTTACTTTATCGCATTAATCGCGCGACACAACTAATCGATGATAAAATTCGTTGCCAACGCTTTTAAAAATCGATTATTATCGATTTTATCGATTTGTTGTTGCAGCCCTAATATTAAATTTGTTTTGGTCTTTTAAGGGGTTGTGACGTATAAGAGATTATTTTAATATTATGTTCAAAAATAGACCTAAGGCGCCTCCTATTTATTGACAACAGCTGTCTGAACTGTGGTCCGATCCAAGATGGCTGCCCCGCTGCCAACAACGTGCAATGAGATGTCTATGTATATAATATCTATGAGTGTCAATAGGTTGAGTGTACAGTTCTAAGTGTCATGGGATGGGAACATCCAACTGAGACAGTTTCCTGTTTCTTTGCCAGTTTGGGTCTTAATCTGCACCCTCTCCTGCATCATCTCAGGTCTCAAATAACATAAACACATATATGCACACTTCATTGAGTAAATATAACACTGTTTACATTTTAGCCACTAGGAGCACTTAAACTGTATTTGTCATTTGTCACCCATGAAAACAACTGAAAACTCTCCACTGTGGCAAACTTAAAGTCTCCCTCTGCATTTTGGATTTGGACCAGCAGAATGAGAAGTCAAGGAGTCAGTTATAAAGACAAGGCGACATTAAACCCTTTAGATTAAATCCTACATTAGAGAACCAAATATATGTCTGCTCAGTATACGTGACATATCTGTTGTTTTGGAAAACAAAAAGTTTTAGCTTTCATTTTTAAGGGTTCAGACAGCCATAAAGCCGCTCTCTGGGTAACATGACTTGAATAGTGACAAAGATATTTGCTGACCAGAAAAATCTTCTCAAAATAAGCTAATACTTGGTGTAAAAGCTAAGCAGTGTTGCTTTGAGAGGGCAATGCTGTGAGAATAGAATTTGATTTTCTTTTTATGCTTTTACTACTTTAAATTTAAATTTTGCAATAATGTTCCATTTCTAATTTTCAAAGTGTTTTTACCAAAAGCATCGCTTTGAAAAAAATAATAAATCATAAAAATTTTTTTACTAAAATAGTATGTAAAACCCTAAATGGGTTTGGCTTTAGGAAGGGAGAAGGGGAATTAATGAGGAGTACACAGAAGCAACTGAGGTCAAGATAAGAGGAAACGAGTAGGCATACAGGAAGAGAGTGTGGGGGGGAAATAAACTCAATTTATGACATTTAATTTTCCTTTGGGATCAATAAAGCCTTTTTAAAAGGAATTTAATTTTATATTCACTTTCTTTTTCAACTAACAAAGTTTCTTTTACTTTTATCTCACTAAATCCAATTATAACCACAACTGATATACACATTGTATTATATGAAAAAAATTAGCATAATTTTTAGATAATCAAAAAATATTTTGAAAATGTGTTTTAGAAACAGTAATTGCATTTGATTAACATGCAGAACATGCCACTGCAAAGTGAAAAATGATGACCGAAGAGGCTTCTTCTCCTCTACATAATAATTATGTTCAAAAACTATGAAGCTAAATCTGTGCAAGCTTGTATTGAAATCAATTGTGAGAATTGGCAGTGAAAAAAATCTATGTATTGAAAATGTAATTGTGAAGAATGGAAACATTGAAACTTTACATTTTGAAAATTAAAATTCCCTCTAAAAAAGTATAGTGGCAAAACAAAAGTATAGCGGTATTCACTGTTTAGAGGTTATACAGGTCCCCAAAGTTGTTTGAATGCAGTGGCGGTTCTAGACTACATTTTCCAGGTGAGCCCGGTGCTCTTAATGGAGGCACAGAAAAAAAACAACACACAAAAAACGAAATACAAAAAGTGAGCCAAAAAGCCATAGTTGTGGACTCCTTGTCTAAAAGATCAAAACTGCTGTTGTATCTTAATATGGTTGAATCTTTAAGGTTACTACAACTTTTAAATAATTGTTAAAATAAATCGTAAAGCTGAATAATTAAATTTATCTAAGTGAACAATCAGTCAGACTGTACAAAAAGTGTCCATCCAGGTTCTAATCTTGTTTTGATACACTAATGCTGCGCTCACACTGGGCACATTATAGGAATCAAAACATTGCAAAAGCAGAAATCTGGACTCTGGGTCAGATGCTGGATCAAAGTGTGGTCAAGTTGCTTTTGACACTTCAACGCTCTGGATGCTCAGGGCTCTGTTTGCTTAACTACCCTGTTCTGTAGCTTCAAGCTAGAGAGCAGCTTGCTTTTATTTATCTTATGATTTGGAAAAATAGTTTTAACAGATTTTTAAAGAAGAAAGTCCACCCCCAAATATAATCTGTGCAGTAAGTTCATCAGGATTATGATCCCACTAAAATATGCAGTGCAATGTGTAGCAATAATGATCAGAGCTCTCTCTTTTCCTTCTACATAACAATCCATTCTTCTGGCTTTTATTTTTCAACCTTTGTAGTTTAATATTTATTCATTTATTATTTATAAATTTTTCATATGCAGAAGCAATGACAGCTTGCAGGTAGTGTCTGTCTCCCCCCAAAAAACTCCTGGATCAGCTTTTCCGATGGCCGGAGTCCAGTGGCAAAAGCTCAATTTACTGAACTTCAGCGTTTAAAGTTTGGATGCTCGGACAACAGAACACTTGGACATACCAGTGTTCTGGTCTCAATGCTGTCCTCCATAGACTTTGCATGTAAACCAGCCTCGGTGTGAATGCAGTATAAGCAAGAGCAGACCGTTAGATTGTTGATCTTCTTTTGAGAGGATTTTACTGACAATTACTGCAAAAATCTGCCAATGCAGTGAGACAATTGCATTTTTAAGACTTCTTGAAATCATGATGTAAAAAAAATATATATATATTTTTTTTTTTTTTTTTTACACAGCAAAACATTTTTTTTTAAGTAAAAGATTCTTAAAATAAGCATATCTGCCCTTGAGGTAAGCAGGTAAATAAGATGATCTGCCAAAGGAGTGAGAATATTTTGCCCTTGAAATAAGCTCACTATATATTGTCCACTTGTAATAAGATAATTAAGTCGTTTTTTTCTCATTTTAAATGTAAAGCATCTGATTTTATTAGCGGGTTGTCTCATCTTCCTACTAAACTAAAGGGAATTACATCTGTTGAAAGAAGTTTTTGTGGTCTATGCTTTTGTTACAGGGGCCATACAAGAGGCCAGGACAAGTCCACTATGGACGCTGGCCCAGTTGGCCCCCCATCTAGGACTGTCTATGTTTGCATGACAGAAGGTATAGGCACATCACTGTGTGCGACACATGAAAAAGCACACACCTTCATATTTCTTATGTTTGAAAATGGAGAGCTTTTGCCTTTTTTCACATTTGTGAAACCTTTGTCTTATTTCCTTACAAAACTTTTATTATTGTTAAAGGAATAGGATCGAGGAACAAATCGGCCTAAAGAATTGGCCCCTAAAAGAAAGAAAATCAGCAGCACATAGCAGGGAATGGTGTGACTCATAAAATTATTGGTAACAGTCTTAAAACAGTTTGTACTGGTGGATCTCTAAATCTAAACAATCAAAAAGTGAATACACTATTTGAAAAATCCAAATAAAGTGTTTGGGGCTCGTGTAAAGTGATGAGGATGTCATAAAATTAAGTGTAAATCCTCTTAAAACGTTTGAGGGCCTTAAGAGTCTGTAACAGTGGTGTCCACCACACCCAGTTTGTCTCAATCCACCAACTGGGACAAGGACACCGTCAAACAACAAAGCAAATGATAATATTGCTATCTAAGATTTTAACACAGTGTTTAATAAAATATTTATAAAAAGATTTTATCTGTAAAACTAAAATGAACCTTTGCTAACATAACATGCCAAACTTTAGCATTCAACAGTTGTTGCCGCCACCGGTGTCGTGTGGTCAACTGGTTTCCATAAAGTCCCCAGCGAGCCACTTTTAACAAACTCTAAGTCCAACAAAGTTTTTACATTTTAATTACTTTTTACGGGCACCCAGCGTCTTACCTGTGCGTTATAATGAGGTATGGGATATCAGCGGAGCCTTTACGCTGTAGCTACTGTCCCAGCCCAGGAAGGGGAACCCGGAAACTGCTTCCCTGATTCCGCCCTCCTGAAACCAGCTGTTGGTTAACGCTGACCCGCGGCGCTACTGTCGCCATTACGGCTCAACAGGCGGGGCTGCGGCCGTTAGAGGCCCGGACTGTTAGAGCCAATATGGCGGTTCAAGCATTGTAGTGTGTGTTTTTACAGCCTCAAGTTTTGAAGCATGGCAAGGTTAGCCTCTGTAAGTGAACTAATTAAAAGAAAATAAATCTCCAGTTTAAGGGGAAACAAAGTCCTGCTTTTGAGACTTCAGACTGCACATTTAAACCAGGGATTTATTTCCAAAAAACACACCCAACTTCAGAACCTAAGACTAAAGTTACCTAATATATTTTTAAAAGACCTTTCCCCCAATTTACAAATTTAACTAAGCTTTTGCTTTATGTTAAGATTTTGAAATAATTTTTTGTAACAGTATGTTATAGCATTCCTTCATAGAGCCTCGGTTGGTTACAAATATTTTACAGTTTAAACAAAAAAATGGATAGCAGTTTCCAATCCATACATCAACATCAATAAAACTTTTGCTTTATTTATTATTTATTCAAAATGAAACATTTATTTAGTAGACAGCCAGTTTGTAAATTAATTTGTTGGTTTGGTTTATCCATCAATGCACATATTCAATATATTTTAGTCAGCATATAATGTATTCAATTATTCTCATGATTTACTCTCTATTTTATTCTGCATGTTTAAACCAATTTTTGATAGACTTTACAGTTTAAATCTATCTATCTATCTATCTATCTATCTATCTATCTATCTATCTATCTATCTATCTATCTATCTATCTATCTATCTATCTATCTATCTATCTATCTATCTCTTCAATATTGAAAATACACCAGGAAGTAAAGGAATCTGAAATAGACATATAATGTAATTTTCTTCTATTGCAGTCTACAAATATGTAAAATTACTTATTTTTTTATATATTGTTTCACCTGATAGTTAAAGGCACTACAGTATGCACATCCAAGTTTGCAATAAGATTCTTATTATCAATGCCTATCTTTAACAAAAGAATACTGTCGCATATTTAATTCCTCATACATTATTGAAAAAAGCCCCACATTTCTTTACACGTTGTCGAAGTGATTTCAGCAGTTTTGCTTATTTTATTTCAGTCTTTTATTTTATAAACATATTAACAGCAATGTAAGAACATCAACAAACAACAAGTAAAACAGATATATAAAAATAGATTTAATTGTACAAAAACAGATATGATACAATTCAATTGACAATAAAATATTAGGGATGCACCGATCCACTTTTTCAGCTCCGATATGATACAGATATTTGAAGTTTAATGTTGGCCGATACTGATCTGATACCGATACCAAAAACAGCACTGAAGTATTAACTAAAAAAATGTTTTATTGTGTAAAAAAAAAAAAAAAACTGGAATCATTCTTCTGTGCATATGATTTGATTTCCCTTTTCTTTAATAAAATAGGAAACAACCCAAATATAAATGTTATGACTCATTTATTTAACAACTGTGCACAAAATCTTAAACCATAAGTTCTCTGAGTTGGTGAGCAAAAAAGTGTAATTATCATTATCAAGTATCATCTGTGATTTTTTTGGCCTGTATACTGTTACATGGAAAAAAATGTCACTTCTTTCCTTTGCTTCGATCAAAGTTAGCTGCTTCCCGCTGCTTCCTTTTTGTTTGCCGAGTCCAACAATCTTAGCATGTTCCATGCTATGAAACTTCTGGAGGTGTTTCATTAAGTTGGTCGTGTTTTAGTTTTAAGATTTAACACCGCCCCTTGAAACATTTTTCCCAAAAATAGTGCACGCCATTGGGCTAGTAGGCTGAGAGTGCGTGGAAAAACCTCCACACCGCAGATCCTTTTGCTCACTCCATCATAAAAAATATAGTCGTGTTGTGTTGTTGCGCTGCCATACCACAGCAGAGCATATCATAGAGTTAGAATGTATACATCTGCCCCTACATCGAGTCAATTGTCACTGATACTGATCTAGTTTTTTTCTTTATATCTGGACCAATACCGATAAAAAATTTTGGATCGGTGCATCCACAATATTTATTATGTATTTAAATTATGAAATTGAAAAGTTACCCTTGGTTTAAAATGTTTCGAAGTTAAATACAAATATAAAGTACAAATTTGAAATAATATAAGTAAACATATACAAGAGTACTATCTATCTATCTATCTATCTATCTATCTATCTATCTATCTATCTATCTATCTATCTATCTATCTATCTACCTATCTATCTATCTATCTATCTATCTATCTATCTATCTATCTATCTATCTATCTATCTATCTATCTATCTATCTGAGAGAACACTTGTTATTCGTTACACAATTTATTTTAGCTGTATTTCACTCTTAATATTAGCAAACTCTTGAAATTTTCTTCAGTGTATTGCATGTATACATAGATATGAAGAGTTAAACTTGTGCGCCTGAAAAAAAAAAAAAAAAAGGTTAGGCAAGTGTTTCAACGTTTTGAAGAAAAAATGAAACTTCCCCAAAGCCTGACTCCCCCTCCTCCTGAAAGCCCCTCACCCTTCTATTTGCTGGAAATAACTGTTCAATCGCACAATGAGCTCTGGAGCACTCTATTCAGCCGCTCAACTTCCTCAGGTTCTCATTGGTCCCCAGAGGATGCGGCCGTAGCGGATTGGATGAAAGTTTATAGTTGAGTTTTCACACCCCCACCTCGCAGATATCCGTGGCCCGGTGCTCCTGTGTTTCCAGTTGTTTTCAAATCCAATCACCAACAAAGAGACTCTCAGCAACGGTCTGATTTCAAGGTGAAAATAGTGACTGATGCACAACTGACGCGGCGGCTACCAGATATAAAGGAGATACTCTTCACATCTTGCTGGAAAAAAGCGGAGAGTTTGAACACTTTTTCTTTTTAAGGACAGAAAAGGAGAGTTAAAATGGTGTCGGCCGGACTGGAGATCGTGGGGCTTTCCATGTGCGTTATTGGCTCGCTCCTAGTCATGGTTGCGTGCGGGCTTCCCATGTGGAAGGTGACAGCTTTCATCGAGGCCAACATCGTGGTGGCGCAGACCATCTGGGACGGCCTGTGGATGACGTGCGTGGTGCAAAGCACCGGCCAGATGCAGTGCAAGGTGCACGACTCCGTCCTAGCCCTCACCCACGATTTACAGGCGGCCAGAGCGCTCACCGTCATCTCCGCGGTGCTGGGGGTGCTGGGTCTCATGGTGGTGATCGCGGGGGCACAGTGCACCAATTGCCTCCGCACAGAGTACGTGAAAGCTCGTGTGGTGAACGCCGGAGGGATCATCTACATCATCAGTGGCCTGTTTGTGCTGGTTCCTCTATGCTGGATGGCCAACAACATCATTTCGGACTTCTATAACCCGCAGGTGCCTTCATCCAAAAAGAGGGAGATCGGCGCTGCGCTCTACATCGGCTGGGCGGCCACTGCGCTGCTGCTCATCGGAGGAACGCTTCTGTGCTGCTCCTGTCCGTCCAGCGGGAACACGGGATACTCTGTGAAATATGCACCAACCAAGAGAGCCTCGCAGAACGGGGACTATGACAAGAGGAATTATGTGTAGCTGCGCGCTTTGCTTGGTGCGGACGGTGCGTAAAAGTGACTTGCCGCTTTCAAAACTGTTTTTTTTCTTCTTTTTTACACGGACTTTGTTTTTGCACCTCCAACGTTTTTATGTAAAAATTGAACTTTGAAGCATCTCTGATCCTTGGACCATATTTTTACACACTTTTTGGGTCTCCTGGAGTTGCGCGTTTGTTGTTTTTTTCTGTTCCGTTGTTATTATAAGACTATTAGCTAAAAGTGGCAACTTACCGCAAAAAAAGTATCTTTGTTTGGTGCCAGCTTTTGTAAATTGTCAGAAATAATTCGTTTTGGATTTATTAACTCCCCCCACGACCCGTTTTGATTCAGTCTCTTAAAGGAAAATGCAGCGTTCTTTGTCCTCAGTGCATTGTCAGCACATTGCTGTACAGTAGCAGGCCAGTTTGTTTTTGTTAATGGTAAGAGCATTTTCTCATTTAAAAACCAATCATCTTAAAAAACAAAACAAAAGCAACATCAAAAATATGAGTGTTTTATTTTTTTATCTATTGCTTTAATGATTTTATTTGGTCATTTAAGCTTTTCCCCCGTTCCTTTTCCCCCTTTCAGAGGGACAGATTTCTTAACATTGGATTGATATCCTGTGCATATTTACAATATTTCAAACTATGATCAAAAAGAAAACAGGTCCCTTACAGAAGTGATCATTGTTTTTTTAGATGTTATTTACAATGTAAACAGTATGTTTACATAAAAACAAAATGTACAGTCTACCTTAAATAAATGTTTCTCTTTCTGTTTATTTTTGTTTTATTATATGTTTTTGTGACGAAGAAAAGCGTAGATAGCACCTTTGAGGTAAATAAATGAAACAGCGCCTCCCATATATATATATATATATATATGTATATACATGTCAACTACTTGGAAACAGTGCCCAATAAGCATTAAGACTTATACGTGAAGTATATTAAAGCCCCTTTGAATCTTACAATCTTAGACGACTTTTTTCTGGATTTGGGAATCACACTGGACTTCATTATTTGGCTTCTCAAAGCACCTTCAAAGTTCTTTCACAGTAGAAAACCATGTTTTGGGTAATTCTTTTGCATAACTTCCCCATTTTTTTGGTGTTTGATGTCATGTTTCATCATTTGTGTGTATAAAGATGTAATTCTTTGTCATTGTTTGATTAAACAGAATATATTGTTGAAAACCTCTAGTTTTAGAGTGTGTTATTAAAAACAAACTACATATAGAGCTGATAAATGGGGGGGTTCTCAGCTTGTGCGTGCTGATCCCACCACCTATCCATAAAACAACCCCCACGACGGGAGAAAGTATTTTGATTATCCACAGAAATCCAGATGACAATGGCCATTCAGCCAGAGTGGGGCTCCACTGTTCAGCTCACAATACTGCCCCCCCACCCCACCCCATTTGAGACCACCACCACCACTCTTCGGCCCCTGTCACTAAAAAGGCGTTCAAATTAAAGCTCCTTGTATCATTCATCCATAAGGCATCGGTATAATCTCACTCCCACTGAATAAGATACATATCTTCATCAAAGGTATAGGTCATCTGATAGGTTGGGTCGGTAGCAAAAATATAGGTCACGGGGTTAGAGCACTATTTCAGCTAGAGCAAAGGAAAAAAAACAAAGATTTTCTGAGCCAGTTAGTAACAACATTGTGATCCAAAACTGTGACTGGATTAAAAGGGCTTATCCATACTTGTTTTGCCTGTAGACTTAAGAATCTTAACAAGTCATATGCCCATGTTGAAAACAGAAAGGCTGCATACAGTCCGGGGAGTGGAGAGCATTTTAAAGCAGTTTCTATACTCTACAGCAGATTAGTCATTTATATTACCAAACTTTGGGATTTTTACAAACCGTTTTTATAAGAGCATACTATACATTTGAGCACGGCATTTTTATCTTCGCTTATCTTTTAGCTGCCTTCAATATTTCTTGCAGAGTCTTTCAAAGAACAGAAGCCAGTGATTAGATGTACCTTGTGAAAGTGGATCTCAAAAGCCTTTCCGCTCCTGTTGAAATGAAATATTCTGGAGTAAAAAGATGACACAACAATAAATCATATAAAATATTGAGAAAATATTTATCATACTCCCACCCTAAGAACAAACGTTTTGATCTAAAAAGAAACTAATGGTACTTTTAGTGTCACTCTTTTGGAAATTTAATATGACAGTTCTCTGTAAAAAGAAAAAAAAAACAAAACAACAGTTAAAACCTTCCAGTCTTATCATTTATATCATTGAACACATAAGTTAGCCAAGGTTATAAAAATCCATCTGTGGCTCCTGAGCAGGAAGTTACACTCCGCTATGCTTGACCAATAGTTGGCAGAGTGATTATGGATCAAATAGTGTCGAAACTTTGATGCTTAATGTTTAAATTTGATTTACGTGTCAGTGTTTTGTGGCTCATTCAGAGTTAGGAATATTATTTTATAACCGAGCTCTGGTTTAAAGTTTTATAGGAAGTTTACCTGAGGACTTTAAATTTATTCCAGACTTGTAAATTTTTAGATTCAATAAGTTCTTTAACTATGATTAATGGTGGTTCTAAGACTCACTTTTAGTTTTATTTACGGTGTGTTTTTAGATTATTGTTATACATATATGATATTTTTTTTTATATCCTTTAATGTTTTATTATATTTAATTTAGTTTTTTTTTCATTAAAGGCACACCCTATACAGTAAATTATAGAAAAAGTCTATTTGTAAATGCGTAACACTTAGAAATAAACAACACAAAAGTTATCTTTTACCATTACCTTTCTGCTATTTGTTGTTCTCCAACGTTCTCTAACATCCTTCCAGCCCGTCACAGAACAGCTATGTTCATTCAGAATGTTTACCGAATAAGTGCCTCAAAAGCAGCTAATGGCTTCGGATTTTATTAATAAGTATGAGAATACATATGCATGCCAAACTTTTTTTCAGGCAGATTGTATTATGAAGAAATTTAGAAATATGATGGATCTTTATTTAGTGTTAGTCTGTTGCACAAAAGCCCAAGGAAAAACAATAACATTTTTGGTTGTAGCTGCAAAGAATTGTTAAAGAAGTTCTGAGGGTGTGAATACTTTTGGATACTATATCTATAACGATGTGAAGGATAGTAGAAGGGGCTGAAAGGGAGAGGTGGGGGACTCCTCAAGATAAAGCCTGTTTCCCAAAAGAGGCAAATAGGCCAAAGATGTCACTGAATGGGCACTCGGCATGGTAACCAGGCAGAACCTGTGTTTCCCTGGCAACCACTCTCTATAATGTGGTGGTATGGATGAGCCTAATAAAAGGCCTTTCCGTCAGACATTCCAACAAATGTGGAGACACACACACAAACCCACCCCCTCAGAAACACACACACAAGCAGTCTGGAGGTTGATGATGGGATTACTGGAAACCTCTAATGGTTGCCGCAAACAGCAGTGACAGTAGAGCACAACTTTATTGTGTGTCACTTTAAGAGAAACTGTTGCCTGCTCCAGTGAATACAGATGAATAAGATAAATAAATAGAACAATTCTTTCTGCTATTGGTGGCATATTACCCGTGACAAACAGAAAACTAAAGTCGTTCCCAACACCTACATTCTTATTGTCAAAGCATCATATCCCCCTGCTTGCTATGGCAGAGTTGAATTGATGTTTGCTCATTTGTTTCATGTGGTGTTCCTTTGGAAATAACGAAGGAAACAGTATCAATGATCTCTGAAACAAAGCGGCCTTAATGAATGTTTTCACTGCTTGAGTCAGGCTTACATCAGAGCCAGCAGGTGCATTCGGTCAGCAGACTTCCCAGCTGGATGGAGCTCACCCACTGGAAAGTAATGCCAAGTGTCAGCAGGTGGTCAGATGTGGGGGACAAATGTAGCTTTGTGAATAGAGTTTAAGACCACATGAGCCGTTTGTTTAAGAAACAATGAGAGGACCATGGTAGAAAGAGGTTAGAACAAAAAGAAAGCACCCCCCTCCCAGCATTCAGTACTGCGCCATGTTCACAAGGTCTACCGCTTTGTGACTCATGGGTTTTAGTCCAAAAGCTGCTGCATGGACAGGCTTCCTGTGCGAGGGACAACGGAAACGGAAGCAGGAAGGAACATGGAGGGTGTGGAAAGGAGGAGGAGGTTGTCTGTGTTTCTGTGCTTGGAGCTCTTTGTACATTTGTTTCACAATCTACATTAAACAAAGGGAGACAGGTGCAACCTCATATACAGTCCAGCTCAAAAATTGTGGTTTTACTACTAGCTTATTTTCTTCAAATGTTTTTACATTCAAATCAAATCATTTTGTTTATCTTTTTTAAAGGCTTTTATAAGCAAATACATCAGATTTACAGAGTCAAACCTTTTTTACTACTTTCTTCCATTTGCTCTTCCCTGTTGGATACCAACTTCGGGTACTTGTCCACTTAACTTAGGAAAACTGAGCAAAAAAAAAAAAGGAAAACTGTGCATATGTTAACCTGAAAGTGTATTATAACCTCTGACTTTTCCACATAGTGCTCCATCATGTACAAATTCAATGTTATCTTTACCCCAACTGTCAGAGGAAGTTGTAATTTTTATCCAACTGCCCCAGTTTTTAAAGCAGAAGTAAGCCAGGTCATGGTTTGTTTAAGGACAGTTCTTTGTTTTTCAACAACAAATCTTGACTCATTTTAAACCATACCTTTTCTTCTCCAGACAAATAATCAAATAAATAAATAAATAAATAAAGCCAGGTTTAAACATTTGAAGGAAGGAGTCATTCATTTTGCTCAGGAGGACATGGTCCGAGAGAGAAGTGTCAAACTCAAGTTGCCAGTATCTGCGACTTTTAGATACATGCCTGATCCAACTCACCTGAACCAAATCGACTAATTATCTCCTCAGCATGCAGGCAAGTTCTACAGAGTTTGACTGATGACCTGATTATTTGATTCCCGTGTGTTGAAGCAGAGACACATCTAAAAGGTGCAGGACACCGGCCCTAAAGGATTGGAGTTTGAGACCTCTGCCCTGGAAGCTCGCTGGACATTCTTAAAACAGCATTTTTGATTGAGAGAAATGATGGCGACAAACATTGCTTCTGGGGGAAACTCAAAAGAACAAAAATTTCACTCGCATTTAATTTCCTTTATAGCAATCTGGCTAAGAATAAATTGAATTGGGGATCAAGGTATGGCACTCAATATCAGCCTTATAACTAAACAGATATTAACCAATGAATATTGACTTTTTTTTTTAGATAATTTTAAAGCTTATTCAACAATATGACAATGTGCACTGCAATCACAAAACATTTTAACATTAACAATACACAACATTGATGTCAAACCAAACCTTGTTAATCAAAGTTGTATCTGTTTGTTAATTAGGGCCCAATCACGTGCAGGAGGCAGACGAGCTCACAACATGGAGGAAACTGGCAAGACAGGAGGATGGTACCAAGACATCAGAGAAAGGTTGAAACTGAAACCAGCAAGAAGAGAGTGCTGGGACAAGGATCTGGTAAGTATAATCACTGTATTATGAAAGAACTGTGAGGTTAGGCCAGAGTTGAGGCTTTGATAGCACTAAAATAATAATTAACAAAAACAAAACACAGTACGAAATAACTAAACAAAATATAAACCGACAAAGGAAAGATT